TAAACACAGTTCCCCATGTTGTGGTGACCCTCAACCATAAAATTATTCTCATTGCTATTTTACAACAGCAATTTTACCACTGTTATGAACCTCAATGCAAACATCCAACATGCAGGTGGTTCTTGGCTGCCCAAAGGGTAGAGACTCATAGGCTGAGAAGCTGCTCCAAGCCCTTTGCCAGACTGCTTAGGTTGTTGTCTTGCTGCATTGTAAGACAGGGACATTCCAGTTTCTGGTGTCTAGTATTTGGTGCTCATAGTGATAGCCTTAATTTTTAACCTTTTTGTTCATTTTTAAATTCAAATATTAATAATATAAAATATTTTATATGCATAAAATTTCCCATAGTCTTATAAATTTAAGTATTTTAAAAGCTGCTTCTTAAAAAAAATCCAGTTTTTAATTTAAATTCTGTAAAATTCCAAAATTTCCTCTTAAAGAAGGTTAAAATCCCTCAACTATGTGTGTCTGCAATATCAAGAAATAAAGCCCCCCCCCTTTTTTTTTACTTCAAGAGGGAAGATACAGGGCACAATAATCTGCATAAGGCAAAGCCTAGCTCCAACAGTGCAAACAATTCAAAGCTCAATGTCTGGGATTCATTTGTAATCCTTTGGGCTTCCTTCAAGGGCTTGGATAACCCTTTGGCCCCACCCTTGGCAGCATATATAGCCTACTTCTAGATTCCAGCCTGCTCCATTTCACTGTGGCTGGTGTTGCTGGTGACTATCACATGGCACCGGCATTTCTAAAACTACTAAGGTCCACCATTACAACTGGAGAACTCTAGCCCTGCCACATATTTACAAGCCTCAACTGTTCCCCATTACCCCTTCATGTCTTTAAAACAATATAACCTGGGTGTCTGCCATGTTACAGTTTGGCTACCAGAACAAGGTACATTCTTGCATATGAAAACATGGAGGTGCAGCTTTAATACTTTATTAAACAAGCATTGTTTTTGAACCCTGTTTCACAAACCTTGTTTTCAGGACAGGACAGAAACTATCGTACAAACATCCATCCGAATCCAAAATATCTTGGAGATCCTTTGTTGCCTCACTGTGGGCCCACATCATGTGGTCACCTTTATTAAGATACTGGTGAAGTCACATGACATCTGTCTTCTCCAACCTTAGCAAAGATGGCTGCCAGCCATGTGGCTGTCTAAAAATGGCAGCAATCTACATGTTGCTCATATCTCTAAATGGAGTTATGCTCATGGTTCCTTTAGTATGCATAGATTTTTAACTATCAATCCCATGTTACTAGTCTGAAGTTAACTTTTTTCATAGATTTTACAGCTTTTTAACCATACTCAACAAAATAAACTTATAAATCTTGAGGTATAGAATGTTCATATAAACCAAGTCTATTTTTTTGGTTGTTCTGCTTTTCTTTCTTCTCTGTGTCACAGAGACAGGTGACTGTCAGACAGGACATAAAGGAAACTTTCCAAAATGCTTGGGTCTAGAGAAGGAAGAGCCATAACCCAACTCTAGAGCCAGCTTTCCAATAAAATAGAAAAGCATAAAACAACTATTATATCATATTTTGTTTGTGTTCTGACAAATAAAGCGTGCCTGGAGATCAGAGGGCAGAGGTAGCCACTCGTTAACCATAGAGGCCAGGCAGTAGTGGCACACATTTTAATGCTAGCACTTGGGAGGAGGAAGCAGGAAGATGAGGAGTTCAAGGCCACCCTGGGCTACATGGGGTTGAACCAGTCTGAAAGAGGAACAGACCCAGGTGGTGGTGTTGCATGCCTTTAATCCCAAAACTAGGATGGTGAAGACAGGAATATAAAGTGAATGGAGACAGGATCTGGCCACCATTCAGTCTGAGGATTCATAAAGACAGGATCCCCACACATTCAGTCTGAGATTTCAGAGGTAAGAAGTGGCTGGCTGCTCTGCTTCTCTGATCTTTCAGCTTTCACCCTCAATATCTGACTGCACGTTTTTATTGTTAAGACTAATTAGGATCCAGCTTCAGCTCTCTAGTTGTCTTGTTTTTCATGAGCATTGCTGGATACCCATAGATATCCCTTTAGTTTTATATTTCCAGGGGTTCTGATGCTTTCCCATACTTAGACTTTTAAGGTTTATTTACTATTTACTATTTATTAATTTGTTTAGCTATTTTCATCTTGCCTTCTTTTTAGTAGCTACCTCTTCCTCCCTTGCTTTGCCAGAGGTGAAGTTGCTTATATTTTCTTGTCTTTCCCCATTTGGTCTGAGCATTCATAGAGGAAAGAGTCTCTAGTGGCTATTGCTCTGCTTCTCTGATCTTTCAGCTTTCACCCTAATATCTGACTCCAGGTTTTTATTGTTAATACTAATTAGTATCATGCATCAAACAACTTTAATGTTATCAATGCCAAAAATACATCTGAACTCCTGCTAATCTGAATCCAGTGACCAGAAAGCCTAGAGATAAATTCTGAGCCCCAGCCATAAAAGCAGCCATGGCAGTGGTGGTAACTGGTGGCTGGTGGCAAAAGAGACAGCAAAAGTATTTGACCCATTTCTGTCTCAGCTCTGTGCTTGCAATAAAACTTACGGACACACCAGGAAACACAGACAAAAACTTTCCTAGAAAACAGGCAGACACAAATCAGACAAACAAAACTTTCCAACAAACAGACAAAATTTTCAGCATGAAATAGAAAAAACTTTCCAATCAAGCAGAACCAGGTGGGCAGGTGATGATGTTTCACTATTTGCCCTGGACAGGAGAATATTGGGGTCCCATTAAACTCCCTCCATGTCCCAAATAGAGATCCCACAAAACAGAAAGAGACTATGACTAACCAGGAGGACTCCATGGATGCTTGCTACATTTCTCAGCATGGCAGTTCACTTTGATAGTCCAAGAACTGAAGGCAGCCTTGGACATTTTCTGGGAAACCTGTGATGGATCTTGCCAGGGAGTTCATCAACCTGGCCAAGATTTAACTAAAGCTGGCTTCAAGTTTGACTATCAACTGTTATAGTGATCTTATTCTCATTTTCTGGAGGCCCCAGTGAGATTCAGACTACTGACCCATTCTAAACCTAGACCTTCACTCTGGAACACCAAACCAATAAAGACAAGATTAGATATCAACACCTAGAATCACTTCATTCATCCCAACCCAGATGCCAGGACACCAGTGTGGTGATATTGTGTTCCTCAAAATATTGTGCACCCTAATAAACTTATCTGGGGTCAGAGAACAGAACAGCCACTAGATATAGACACCAGAAAATGGTGGCACACATGCCTTTAATCCTAGCATTCCAGAGGCAGAGATCCATCTGGATCTCTGTGAGTTCAAAGCCACACTGGAAACAGCTAGGCATGGTAACAAGAGTCTTTAATCCCAGGAAAGGTATTTAAGGCATGAGGACGAGGAACTAGGCCTGTTTAAGTTTTCAGGCTTTTGAGCAGCAGTTCAGCTGAGATTCATTCTCGATGAGGACTCCGAAGCTTCCAGTCTGAGGAAACAGGATCAGATGAGGAATTGTCAAGGTGAGGTGGCTGTGGCCTGTTCTGTCTCTATGATCTTCCAGAATTCATCCCAATAACTGACTCCAGGTTTGTTTTTATTAATAAGACCTTCTAAAATTCGTGCTACACACCAGCACAAAACCAAAATCGTTAACAGCCAAGACAATATACCTCCACCAGAACCTGTAACCCTACTACAGTACACCCTGAGAAATGTAATATAGGTAAAGCACAAGACAAAGACTTCAAAACAGCAATTATGAATATATTCAAGGACCTTATAGATTATATGAATAAATCCATTAATCAAGTCTGTGAAAACTCAAACAAGCAGTGGAATTAAATTATGAACAATGTTCGAGATATGAAGGTAAAGTTATAGTCACTAAATTAAACCAAAGTTTAAATAAAACTGGAAATGAAAAATGTAGGATGTCAAACAAAAATCTCAGAGATAAGCTTCACCAGCAGAGTACAAGACAGGGAAGAAAGAATCTCAGACGCTGAAGACAAGGTAGAAAATTTGGATACCTCTATCAAAGAAAACGTTAAATCTAAAGAAAAAAATTCAAGCACAAAATATCCAGGAAAAGACTAAATTTACAAATAATCAGAATAGAAGAAGGAGAAGAAACCCAGATCAAAGGCACAGAAAATATTTTCAATAAGAATCATAGACTAAAATTTCACTAAGCTAATGAAGGAGTTACCTATCAAGGTATATGTAGTCTAGTGGATTCCCCATAGACCAGAACAGAAAAGAAATTTCCCATGACACACAGTAATGCAGACACTAAATGTACAGAACAAAGAAATAATATTAAAAGCTTCAAAGGAAAAAAAGACCAAGTAGCATAAAAGTAGACCAGTTAGAATAACATCTAATTTCTCACTGGGGACTCTGAAAGCCAGATGGGCCTGGGGAAAAGGTTTTCAAACTCTGAGCTGCCACAGATGCTAGCCAAGATAACTATACCCAGAAAAACTATCCATTGCAGTAGATGGAGAAAGAAAAACATCCCACAATAAAAACCAGTCCAAGCAATATCTGCATGCCATTTCAGCTCTACAGGAGGCACTAGAAGGAAAGCATCTGTCTGAAGAGGTAAACACACCCAGAAAAACACGAGGAATAAATAATCCAAGATCAGTAAATCAAAAGGGGGCGGGGTAACAACCAAAAAAACAAAATACTAGGAATTAATAAATACTGCTTGATAACCCTCAATGCCAATGATATCAATTCCCCAGTAAAAAGGCACAGACTGTTCCTTGGTGACACATCACTAAGGTGCATTGGTATTCCATGAAGTACACAGGGAAATCTATGAAAAGAATTTAGCAAAGATGTTTTGTGATGATTCATCTAGAATCATGAATTATGTTCATTTTTTCTTAGAAGAGTTTGGTGGGAAATAATGGTAAAATATTAAAAACTGGCATATTATTTTTCCAAGATCCATTCTTCTAGCATTAGAAATCATGATAATAAAAGCTACTTAACTGACCATGTTTATTTGGTTTCAACCAAGCAATGTAGTAAAAGTTTACTGTCTGTTCCTTATTTAGCAATGCTTCCAACTGAATAGTCTGCATCCATGAAATCTTCTTAATGGCCAATTCATTTCTCCTCATTCCGAACACTTGTAGACATCATGAGTTCTAGGAACCCCGAGTTTGCTTTTTAGTCCCTTGAGTACATACCAAGTGGCAGGATGCTGGTTCTACTGATACTCATGTATTAAGGCTGCCTGATATATTCATTCTGTTTCATCCGATCGGTTGCAGCTGTCTCTGCTACACCCTTTTCATTAAAGGGCTGCATTTCCTATTCGAGCATGTTTGTAGGAACGTGCTCTGAATCTTCAGGAATATACAGAGAAGACTGGCCTTGTCTTTTACTCAATTTCTGTCTAGTATGATATTATAGGCCAACTAAACTTTACGGATGGTCACATTTGGCATTAACTCACTCCACTGATGCTAGCAACACCCATACGATCTTTACACGTCAGAGTTTTTGAGTCCTCAGTTCCAAATGCTTTGAAGGAATGATAATATCTACATCAGCCAACTTCAGGATCTGAAACCTACTTGGCCTTCACCCAAGCCAGATTCTCCCTCTGGGGAAGTACAGAAAGCAGGAAAGAGCATGACCATCTACTGCAGTTTATCTATCTTCTCCGTAAACTTTGGGTAATATGTCCATGATCCCAGGATATAGACTGAAGACATACAGAGCCGAAAGTCATAGTCAGAGCTCTGTTTTACTGTCCCATCTGAACATCTTTTTATTGCTTAATATAGTTTTTATGTCATGATTTCTATTTTTCTAGAAAGTCTTTAGAACCTAAATGTGAAGAGGAAAAAAAAATTTAATGATAAAAGTCCTTGCAGAATGATTTAAGTAAACAACCCATTTTATATCAATTTAAATACTTTCATGTAGTCCTGAGTAGTGGAACCTATTAGTGAAGATTTTAAAAAGTCATTTGTAAATTAGCTAAATTTTCTATTACCCTTCCAAACATCTTCATTTAGAAGCCTTTTTCTCTTGGCAATCACTTAGGGATCAAGCGAATGGGGGTCATAATCAAACAGAACTTAGCTTAAATCCTACCTATAAAGTCACTTCATCTATCAAAGTCTCAAACTGTTCATTATAAAATTGAGATGCTAGTAATGCATACCTCTCGGCTTATTAGATTAAATGATAGATTAACATAGACCTGCCACATAAGCCTTACTCAAGAAACAAGGGCATCATTACTAAACTCATGAAAGTGTTTACAGCGATGTGTGTCTTCATCCTTGACAGAATACTCTGCATATTTGATTATACACATAACTTAAGATTTTGATGCTTTTATTTGTTTAGTTGAGAACAGGAAATGTGCTGAGTCAGAGAAACTGGTTGTCCCCTGGAATGTGTGTTTTGATTCTGTCAGTGTCTGAATATGGTTATATAATAGAATTTTTCGGTACTTTATAACTTTTATAGGTTAAGATAGATAAAGGAAACAATACTGCAGATAGGAATGGGGTCTTCCAGAGACAGGAAAATGGTGATGTCTGTTCATGGATGGCTTTGTTGGTGAGCTAATAAACTTCTTCTTGGTGATACCTCATGGACATTTGCCTCACTTCCACTCACACTTCCTACCTGTGGTCTTCAGGTCATGCCATTGTTCTTTGTCTGTTTGGTGAAACTTAGTCTGACCTGATAATGAGTAACTGATAATCTTGTATTTCCCTGGACTTGGAAGATTTCCTAATGTATTGAAATAACACTTTCATGGTAAGTGAAATGCCCTTTTGAAGAATCCAAAGATTCGGTTTTGAACCTCAAATTCCTCTAGTATTTCTTTTAAAACATTCTATAACCCTTATTATTTTAAACTCATGCCCATGCACTTTATATAATTTTATAATTCAATAAATTCAACATATCAAATGATTAGCTATATTTATCTTGGTATAATTTATTTGGCACAAAGTATTAGAGATGAAATGGGGATGAAGAAAGATTGAGAATAATGTAAAATGTTACCACTTTATATTGTTTTAAATGTAAAACCATGTCTTTCTGTGATGTGTCCTGCAGTTTTCTAAGTTCTGTTGTTTGGAAAACAAGAGTCCCAGGAAAGCATTGCTATCAATTTCCTGCATATTTAACTAGTTTGAATAAGAAGGAACTAATTTACATCATAAACTATTTTTCCAGATGTGAAATTCATCTTTTGCTTCCCAGAGAAGCACACTGTGAGTTTCCACCATTGGCTTGTCTTTCTAGAAAGGTTAATTGTACACAGAAGTGATGCCGCAGGTTTGGGTGGAAACAGTTTCTATGCAGATCCAGTCCTGCATCTGTGCTGTTCTGAGTGTATGCCCACAGCAGCGGTGCCACAGGGAGGCTGGCAGGGAGGCTGGGGTGCAGCCAAGGGCTACTCATGGTAAAAAGAGTGGAGGAAACTCTCCAATGTTTGTCTTGGGACAGGACCTCAGAAACTAGTTGGGGCTAACTCTGTGACAATTTCCTGTCTCAGTAATAGAGCTGCACATACTCCAAGCCCACAGCTATGGTTAAGCAAGACATCATCTTATCAACGGAAGCTGAGATGAGTGCTTGCTCCCTATACTGCTGTGCAGAGACAACAGATGAAGCTAATCCTTTTAGGAGACATCCAGCCTTGTGTAGAAGCTGGCTCTGATTACACAAGCTTACCACAGTATCTGATTCAAGTGTTCCATGACAACAGGCTGTGAAAGCTAGACTCAAATGTTCCATCTATACATATGCTTTTCCTGGGACTGGATAAATGAGGCTAAGTACCTGCTGCCCGCTCTGTACCCAGCCTGTGCAACAAAGGTTGGAGATATTTTCTTTCTGTGTTCATATTTCTGAACATTTCTTTTCTGAGTCTGCTCTCTCATTTACTTGATACGTATGTCAGTATCTTCAACTAAGCCTTCCTCAGGTGACTCTGATAACATTTTCCTCCTGAGGTGAAACTACTATTTAGTGGATGGCTTTAACACAGCTGAACTCAAGGCATTCTGTGACTTCCTATAATACAATGTTCTTGTCCGCATCTTCATTTTCCTATGCTACTTCGCTCAAGACACAGCCTTATTCCTTTTTTGTTTTCCACTAAGAAAGTGAAGAAAAAACTACTTGTAAACTTAAATCAAGCATTGGAGAAAAGAACAGACCCTTGATGGAATGTTAAAATTATCCTGGGGCTACATCTCTCCTTCTCTGTTTCTTCCTTGGGTAGAGTGTCTACCCAGTTCTGGGCACCAGATTCTAATCCCCACAGCACCTGAGCTCTCTGTGAGCACCAATCAATCGCAACAAGCTCAGTCTCCATCAGCGAAGAGACGGAGTTTCAGGGCCTCTACCAGTATGTGGAGTTGGAGGTTTTCTCTCCAGTAGCTGTGGTCTTTTGAAAGCGAGCAGATCTAGCTGTGGTTTAACTGCTCCTATTTTGTCTTCTAACACCTTAGCCTCACCGTGGGCTGCCCCAAACAGTGGTGGTTTGAGTTTAACCATTTTCCAGGAAGCAACCACACTGACAGAGCAGGTAAACAAAAGAAGCTTGAGAAAGTAGAACTGCTATTAGACACAGGATGTTGTCTCTCCATCTCCCTACCCCTAGCACTCTCTGCACGCTGCTAAGGCTCCAGGCTGCCCAGGTGGACTCCAGCAGGAGGGTGCTAAGAGGTTTGACACCACATGAGACACTGCCTGTGTGCTATTGGCCAGTGATAACAGCCCCACAACGCTCTTGCTGATTGTCAGTTTCCAGCCACGGCATCTGTTTCCTTGTGCAGACATAGCCATGTCTCTGTTTAGCTGCCAGGAACTGGGTCTGAAGAGTCCAGTCAGCTCAGGAGCATCAGAGAGGAGATATAAATTAAATTTCATCTTCTTAAGCCTGGCTATTCTTGCTTTGTTTTTTCCCCGTGGGAACTTCTGCTTGGTTTCACAGAAACTGAAGTTGATTGTACAAACCTGAAACCTTTTCATTTTAAGTTGAAACTATGACCTCTAACTTGAGGACATGGGGGTGGGTAAAGGGGGTGGGTAAAGAGATTATTTCCTTCATCCACTCTGAGCCTAATAGCAAAAGAAGGTTTTCTTGAAGAGTTGCCTATTTCCCTCCTACAAACAAATGCTATACTAGGTAAGAGCAGAACTGCTCACACCAACCAGCTGAGATCCAAGTTCTGCCCTTCCCTGTGGCATTCTCGGAGACCCCACAGTTCTCCCTGGCACAGCTTCCCCTTGTACAGAACAGAGATGTTCTGTCTATCTTACTCTGTATTTGTGATGCTTACTTGAGGTGGCACATATTTAATCCACCACCTGGAAAATACTATGACATCCATGATTTCCACCATTACTTCACTCAGATGTCAACTACTTGGTTTGTAACTTGGCATGCAAACCCTAAGTTACTTAACTTTATGCATTATTCAAAGGATACATAAATTTTAGTGTGGAACTAAAGCATTAGAAAATAATAATATAATCTGTGTCTCAAAAGGCAATGGAAAAGATTTTGAATATTCTCATGCCATAGAAATAATGAGTGGATAGTTTAGGAAAAAGCTATGTCTACCCTGATTTAAAGAATGCTCAATATGTGTATGGACTCAAACATTACATAAGATTCCATAAATATGTAAAAGTTTTGTCATTCAAAAGAGAAGCTGATATAGCAAAAAACAAACAAACAAACAAACAAAACACTAGACAATGTAGCCAGTATTCTATCTGTGAAATGTGGCTCCTGGTTCAGGATTCTCCCACAAAATCAGGTAGTTACCTGTTTGAGGCTTTGCGTTGTGATAAAAGTCATGGACCAAGGAAGTTGCATAATCCCATTCCTGCATCAAAAATTACCTAGATTCCAAGAATCTTCTACAAGTGATTCAGTCTATGGATAAACTTGAGTCTCAGGATGCTCCTCACGTCCACACAGCGCCATTAAGGGATCTACCATGCCTGGAACTCACATCCCACTGTATTAGTGCTCTCCCTAGAAGAGCAGTTTCAAACCAAAGACAAATGCTCAATGGAGAGCAGAATCGCTGTTCTAACTTACAGCAAGTGGCACAATTATTATTATTCTAGAGTAGATAATACTTCTAGTAAGAGAAAGGATGAGTCATTGGATGCCATGGCTCAGTTGTCATACCGTGTCTTTCAGGGTTATTAAATGGAAGTAAAGATTGACAAAAATAGACTTCTGATTTTTAAAAATAATTTTATTGTCTCTAATATGAAATACAAGACAAGAATTCAAATAGTAAAGAAGGCTTTTTCAGTTGTCTAGAGTGGAGGCTTTCAAGAAGTTAGCTGGTTCAAAGGCGACAAGGACCATGGGTAGAAGCTGCAAACTATGTGTATTAGAGGTGTGACGCTTCAGGCTCTTGGGGGAGGGGACTATTGAAGAGGATGGAATCAGAAGGGAGGTGTGCTCAGAGTTAAGCTGCTCAAATTGCTTATAAAAGTTTGAAAACTTTTATGCAGTGACAGAATGATATACGTGTGACTTTACAGAGGTCAAAGTTAGCAAGGAAATCCAGCTGGACCCCCATAAGGCACCTTTTGACAGTAAAGGATGAAAAGTAGCTGACTTGAACCACCATTCACTTCCTTAGGACCTCTTCTTATTACCACAGAGGGCTGCTCTTCTAAACAGAAAGAAGCTGACCATGGCCAAGTAGATCACACTCTTGAGGAGCAGGAGGAGGTAGGTGTAGTAGGCAGAGGTGCTCGTAAACTGAAGCTGCAGCGCAGGCACATCTGAAAGAGTCCTTTAATTAATTAGTTCCACATGCTTTTTTTGACAACATAGCACATGTTACTGAGGAGGGAGTAATAGGTATTAATTTTCTGAGGACTTACATCAAGTAACAGCTCTCCTCACCCAAACCTGAAACAACACTCACCATTCACAAAAGAACCACTAAGAGGGGAATTCAATTTGGAAGTCAGTTTGTCTAAATCTATCATTGCCAGTAACTAGTGAGTAACTGGATGGCTTTTAAAACCTATACTTAACTTTTATTATGCTTTCTTTGGTGGTTAAAAATAATAGACATATGAGTCAATAAATTCCTTTGTTAAAATAGGTTAGAGTACATCCCTGTGCCCCTCATTAAAGTACACTTGTATTTGAGTTAGTAGTTCACCATGTTGCTGTGATGTCTGTGTAGTGACACATTAGCTGTAAATATCACTGTCTATTCTGTAATGCCCAGACATTTAGATATTTCTAAATTGATGCAACACAGTTCAAACATTGTTGTGTACAAAAGGAAAAGTGCTGTAATGTGATACAAAGGCAAAGATACTAAAACCTACCATTTTCATGCCAGCAAGTTGTAGGCTCAGTACTTACAGCAACTACAAGAAATGACAACATGAATTTGTTAATTAATATGCACATTATTTGACAGTTCTCCCTCTGTTTGTGAATATGCATATATCCACATGTAACAGTACACATCATTCACTTGTTATGTTTCTGTATACAGAGAAGCAGAAATTCAAAAAGAATATTTTTTTCCTTTTTTACCCTACAAAATATAGTAAACTTTCTAAAATAGTCTTCAAAGAAAAACAGCCATATCTTTCCAAATCAAGTACCTTTCCAAAGCAACTGCTCAAAGTTCATTGATCATTATAGTGGCTAGGGATCCCAGAGGAGAAACCCAGACAGTGACCAGCAAGAGGCTCATAAGTTTTATATGTGCTCATTCCTCACAGGTTTAGAAGGTCCCTGGGGCCTTGGGACTATTGTTCAATGCCAGCAGTTATGACACACAATGAATTGCAAGACCAGTTGAATATTCAACCCTCTGTCTGGATGTTCAGCTGTGTACCTCACTAATCAAGGGGCTCCTTTGGGGTCTTGCATCTGAATTATTCTGAATAAATTGGAAAGAGTATGCATTCTTCACTGTATACCCCCTCCATGTTGGGACACTGACTAATTCTGGTCTACCCACTGACGTTCCTATTCAGGCCTATATTAGCTTTCTGAAATGCATTGAAATGTCAAGAAATGCATTAATTATGAAGCATGCTTGCAAACAGTATCCTCACTCCATCTTTAACTATGATATTCTATATGACAGTGATACATATAACAACAACAAAAATCTGAAAATTTCGAGGCTGCTAAGTTCACTCCTTTTTGTGACAAGCTTTGGCTCTTTCATTTGAATATTTTGTTAACTAAGGCACCAGTTTCTAAGGCATCAGTGTTTTGGAACTGAACTTTGTACACAATAAGATAAAAGTAAATGACTTTGCTTGCTTGGTAGAACATTCCTAATTAAGTCATCAAAAGTGGAACCTCCGTTTTAGCATTTATCAAGTACTTAGCTGCCTGTTATTTTAATGTGTCATTTGTTTTAATACAATTAACAGTTACCAAAAAGGAAAAATAAATAAATAAATGGAGGAAGGAAGGAAGGAATACATAAAGAAAGAAAGGAAGGAAGGAAGGAAGGAAGGAAGGAAGGAAGGAAGGAAGGAAGGAAGAAAAAGAAAATCAGATCTGGATACTTTGGATAATGACAATAGATGCAGAAAAGCTTAAGCCAATTTTTCACCTTTTCTCCTAAAGCCTCTACCATCTTAGTACTTTAGTAAAGCAAAATGTAAAACAAATGCAATGGCCCTGTTAAAGGTCTTACGTTAGTTTTTATTAATACATCATAGAAAAACTGGGTATTTTCAAACACCTTTTCTAGAAAGCTCTATTTCAAAGGACATATGCACATACCTTTCTTTATTGGAGGAAAGGAAATCTCTTGATCAACTCCTTTTTTGTTGTTCTCATGTTTGACAATACATCTGTGCTCTTTATACATTGACTTTTCAGTCACGGTCAGCCAGCTAAATTTCATGTACGTGTCGTTAGTCTTCAGTGTATTCCCTTCCTGGGATTCCAGGATCTTATCACCATCCTTTTCTTTCCAGTATACCCTTATAATGTCAGGGAAGAATTTTTCAAGGAGACAAAGGTATGTCCCAGCCTTATGGAGATTTGTTTCAGCGACAGAAGGAAGAAAAATGGTAGGCTTGGGGGAAATGTCTGCATCGAGGTTTTTGTCTGTAAGATAAAATGGAAAATTAATAACGATGATAATAATGAGGATAGTAGTTATTATTGCTGAGACGTAGCCCAGTGTAGTATCAAACTCTATGTGTACCTGTAGATGGCCTCCTCCTAGTCTGCCTGATCCTGATCCTCCTGCCTCTGCCTCCCAAGTGCTAGGATTACAGACATGCACCACTAAATCCAGCCACTCAAAATAATTATTACATAAACACAAACATTGAATAGTTAAGAACAATTTATTTCTTCACACCACCTTTGTTTTCTCAGAGTGAAGCATACATTCATCTGGGTGGATGGATGGGAGGGAAGGAGACCAAATTACATCTATGGTCATTGTACAGATGAAGGTTTCTTGTCATTTCTAACATGCTCCCCGACCCCATCTTTTGTTACTTTGTTTTCTGGCAATTTAGTGCAACCCACTGCTTATTTAGCTGACTCTATAATGCGCCCTGCTTTTCTTATAGCTCAGTGGAATAGATGTCAGGAGGTGGCTTTCAATTTTTCTTTGTAACTATATGCAGTCCCTTATGAAATGGGAATATCCTTTCATGTGTATTACAATCCATCAAGTAGATCTGCTAGCTACAATTACAGATCCCCTTCTCAATTTTGAAGTTCTCAGGGGATGTCCTAGTTGATCTTTACTTTTAGAAAGCAATTTACTCTCTCATGAGAACCACTCCAAGTTTTGGAGTTGGGCATGTAGCTGTACCTCCGAATTATCCCTAGTATATTGAATTAAGAGGCTTCAATTTGAGTTATCTCAACAGATAAGTTCCTCGTAAGAGGACAGGGAGAGAGGGGATCTTCCAAGGAAGGAGAAATAGAATATAATGCTATAAAGAGATAAAGAGGAATTGAGAATAGGATTAAATAGAGAGGGGGATGGAAAGGCAGAGTAAAGGAGGGATTATGGGTATGAACAACTAACACTAAAGAACCTTCGAAAAATCACATGGAAATCTACACCTGTAGAAGCTTCCTAAATATACACTTATATGAAAGGAATTTAAATGGAATTACCATGTAATGGGAGAGAGAATGCCTCCACAAGAAGTCTCATGCCACCAAGCAGAGCCTCCAGTACCAGGAATGAGTTATATCTTAGTGAGCATTGGTCAAAGGGGTCCTACAGACGCCCACCTCAAACATAACAAGATATTCCCAAGGCTACTGGTTATTCTCCATAACCTGATGCTAAAGCCCTGTTGCTGAAGAAATTACTTACTTTTATCATTAAAGACAGAGAAACTGAGGCCAACTAAAAGCTTCACCCTTTCTGACTAGTGTTCATGGTACTAGAAGGTACTCTGTCTGATACTAGAGGAGAAACCCTACTGCCTAAAACAGTAACCTGCTTGCCAGATATAATGGTGAAACTATAGAACATTTTATTGAGCAATCAATCTTTTTTTTTTTTTTTTTTTTTTTTTTTTTTGGTTTTTCGAGACAGGGTTTCTCTGTATAGCTTTGCGCCTTTCCTGGAACTCGCTTTGGAGACCAGGCTGGCCTCGAACTCACAGAGATCCGCCTGCCTCTGCCTCCTGAGTGCTGGGATTAAAGGCGTGTGCCACCACCGCCCGGCTCAATCTTTTTTTATTGGATTAAGGTCCACTCCATGAGATGTAACCCATATCTGATGCTGCTAAAGAGGCCAGCACCTGAGACTAGATAAGTCACAAACCAGGAAAAGATACACTCCTATAATTCTGCTAATGGAATACAGCAATAAAATGACTGCTAATGACATATTGCTGTACCCATAGACCAGTACATTGCTCAACCCTTATCAGAGAAGCTTCTTCTTGAAATAGATAGCAATTAACACAGAGATTCACAACTGGACAATGTTCAGAGTGAGAGACTTTGGAACACTCAGTTCTAAATGGGGATGTTGAAATCCAGCCTATTCCCTCAAGGCTCAGAGATCTATGTGGAAGAGGAAGCAGAAAAATCGAAGAACCATAGGAGTGGGTCTTCTGTTTAGATAGTGCCTTCTATACATGACAGGAACTTGCTTCCATGAAATCTTAACAATATGGTCATCTAAACAAGATGTGCACAATTACAACACCAGTTGACTTTCAAGCATGGGTGGGGAAAATCTCACAAGGCCAAACTCCTAGATTAGCTACACACAATGAATGGATGCTAGGAGAAGGAGAATCATGTTCTGTAGGGATGGGCCCCAGATAGGTCATGTAATTCCAAGTGGTTAGACATAAACACATATACATATTTATATAAAACACTAAATGGATTTAGCAGGTTGTATTTATATGTACATATGTGAGCACATATATTTATATAGCAATAGTTATGGAAGAGTAATGAATTTGGCAGGGAGTTGGGAGAGTTCAAAGAGGAAGAGGGTGAGGTGGAAAGGAAGTCAATACAATCCTCATGATGAAATTCTCAAGAATTTAAAAAAAATACTTTATAAAGTTAGAAACAAAACAGCATTTCACAACTTCTACTAAAACTTTTATTGATTAACAGTAAAAATCCTTCTTTTTTTGTGGGTTTTTTTTTTGAGAAAGGATTTCTTTGTGTAGCTATGTATCCCTGGCTGTCCTGGAACTCGATCTGTAGACCAGGCTAGCCTTGAACTAATGGAGATCTGCCTGCCTCTGCCTCCTGAGTGCTAGGATTAAAGGTTTGTGCCACTGCCACATGGATAACAATAAAAATCCTTTAAAAATATATTTAGAGTCATGTTTCTTGTCAAATGATGAAATAGCTTGCTAGAGAAAAGCAAATGCCTCCAGATGGGAATTTTGTGTATGTAAAATTTTAGAAGTCCAGTTGCATCTCCCAGAAAACTGAGCTGTATAATAAATGTTATTGGCTATAATGATAACAAATCACCTCTTCATGGTAGAGAGACAGTCCTCTCTACAGTTTTTGTGTCTGTTATGGTTTGGACAATGTACCACATGCTTTATTCATATTATTGACTTCGGTTTTCACATAATCTTGCTGTTCTCATACCCTCATCTTTCTTACTTGTTAGGAACTGAGCACAGAGTCTCCCATGATCTCTAGGAATAAGTGGAGAAGCCAGAGACCCATGTCTGAGTTCAAAGCCCAGACTGGTTCAGAGTGCATTGGACCTGGAGAAAAGGGAAGGCGACTGTGTATTGAGTCCATTACAGACTTGTCTGGTTTCTTGTTTGTTTTTTGGTTTTTGTTTTTTTGTTTTGTTTTGCTTTTTTTTTGAGACAGGGTATCTCTGTGTAGCAGTCCTGGCTGTCCTGGAACTTGCTTTGTAGACGAGGCTGGCTTTGAACTCACAAAGATCCATCTGTCTCTGCCTCCCAAGTGCTGGAATTAAAGGCACATGCCACCACTGCCCGGCTCATAGACTTGTCTGTAATAATAAACCCCACTTCGGTGTCAAATGATTTAATAATGACTTCCATGCATTACATATGAATGCTTTACAGAAGTCTGAATGTCTTCAAGCATTACTAGGATGTTTGCACAGTGTTCTTCAGCATCAACATTGGTAATTGCTTCAGAAAATCTTTCTCACAGCCCTCTGCTTTCTAAACATTATCACCTCCACTTCACTATGGCCATGCTTTGCCTTCCCTCAATTTCTTTGAAAATATATTTGTTCACTATCCACCTATGACAACACAATACATTCCTCTACTAAACATGGAGGAACTCTACAGTGACTCAACCCATATCAAAACTACTACATTAGTTTAGAGCCCTTGATTCTTCAGATAACAGGGACAATATGATAGTCTGGAATTCTTACAAGGATGAGGATTTGGTCCTGACTTAACTGAGTCATAACGAGTTCTAAGATTGAGCAAGTCAAACAACTTCTAAGTTTTAGCTGCTTTATTTTTCATAAAACCTATCTGTTACTGAAAATCAATTCAGCCTTACTACCACAATGAAACTAAAATAAATGACTTCTAGCAACAACAACTTAATTTGCTATGACTTGTGCTGGAACAAAACATTGTCATTCCACGGGGAAAAGCTTTGCTCTTAGTCATAGAAATGGAGGGTTTGGTTTGCAGTTAAATCTAGGTCAAATGAGGAGAGCCCACCATCTACAGTATACTTTTCTATGGTATACCTGGGCTCCCAAATCCACCATCACAAGAAACTTGCTGCTCTAGGATAGCAAAGGGAGATGTGATTAAGCCTAGAGTGTATACCAGTGCATGGAACACTTCATTTCTGATGTTAAAACAGTGCCTGTGCTCCACTCAGAAGCACAACACACGGGAATCAGATCTTTTACTGAAAGTTTGGGTATAATCCGACTTCAGTAAGTCACGCCAAATGCTATTCTGCAGCTTCTGGCTTGGCTCTTTCTTGAAAATCTAATGAAGAAATATCAGGGGGCTGGTCTTCAAAGCCATTTTAGGACACTGTTATCCACCTGACTTCATAGACTGAGTCCCAGTGTGTGTGTGACATCAAATTTTATGATTTAGTTGCAGTATCAGTGGGTTTGTTTAATGGCCACTTTTCATTCCTCAAAATGAATGTTGGAGACAATATCCACTCGATATCCATTTTCCTTCTGAAGGAGATGTGCTTTGAAATGTTTTTTCCCCAATTTTCTTTCTTTCTCTGTGTATGTGGTGTGTATACGGGGAACCTGCAAATTCCTGTGTGTGGATTCAGGCACACACTTGCCTGAATGTGGTAGTCAGAGACAGCCTTACTTCAGTCTTCACCTTCCACTTTGTTTCAGACAAAATCTCCTTGTTTTTTACCATTCCGGATTCCAGTGTAGCAGGCCTGTGGCCTTCTGGAGCTATGGCTGCCTCAGTGTCCTGCCTTACCTTAGGAGCACATGTGGACTTTTAGACTGACCCTGGGGACTGAAACTCAGGTCCTCACATTTATGCCGCAAGCACTGTACCACCAAGTCGCCTCCTCAACTACTTCTCTAGTTTTACAGTGGAAAATTGACCACATTTGAAAATTGGCGTGCTTCTTTATCAGTCAGTAAAACAGGCGTTGTACTATATTTTATTTTAATCTCTGAATATAAAATTGCGTTCTTCAATTATTCTAAACTCTTTGCTCATGTCTCCTATGCCAGAATAGGAAGAACACAGCTTCCTCAGATGTGGACAAGTAGCCTGACCTCTCTGGACATCATGGTCAAACCAGGAACCATTCTGAAGATGCTGAGGCTGGAGCTTGCAGCATCCATACCCCCTCCTCTCTCCCTTCTCTACTCTGCAGAATATAAAGAAAACGTTCCTGTAGGCATGGGCCTGTGTGTCAGGGTGGAACGCTTGGACGAATTTGTATCTAATACTCAACATCTGACGATATTTTTGTTACTATTTATATGAATATATAAAATTGGCTCTGCTGGTATTAAATGGAGAGAAAACTCAAGCGAAGCCACAGAAGATCTAAGTGTAACCAGGAGTCGAAGGCCTGAGCACGCTCTGCCTTGAAGCTTGTGTCACATTCACACAGGCTGACAAGTTTTATTTCATTTTTTCAAGATTTTCCCGATGTTTCTGTATTTCCTCCCTTAAAGGGCTGCTTTTTATAAATTAGTTCTTAACCTAGAATGTAATTTAGAGTTAATTGAGATTTCTTTTTCAGAGAGAAATTTTCAGAGAGAAATAAAAGCAATAATCATGTGTTTGGGCATAGCTACTAATAACTAGACAACTAATGTGTTCTTATAAAAAGTCAAGATGCATAAAATGAAAATTTCAGACAATATGACAATCCTAAGCTTCCTTGAGGAAAATAATGATCAAATAAAGATGTAAATCTATGCCTTTTACATGGACCCGGGACAGATGTGGATTGTGTAAACTACAAATTCTAATGGAAATCTCCATATAATATTTCAAGAATCAGAATGACATAAATTGTGACTTGTCATAACCTACCCTACAAGGAGTCAGAGAAATAAGAAGGGCATTCAGTAATGTTCTACAGAAATTTACTATCATTTATGATCAAAACCAATAATAATGGTTTTCCAGTTTGTCTGGAGAATGTAGCACTAGTTGCATTTCAAAACAGAGAAAAACTCCATTTTGAGGACTCACTTAAAAGACTTTTTACAACAATATCCTGAAACAATAATTTACACCAATAGTCTATGCACATGATCCTCAGAATGACTTCCACTTCCTCTTTGTATATGCAACTATTCTAAATACAGAGTTTCAGTGTTTTCTGGATAGAGAGAAGAAACCATTTACAAAGTAGTTTTTACTATCATATCCAATAATCTGTCCTGAAAAATGACTCAGGTTAAGAATATTGTAGTCAGATACAGTATCTCATAGCAGTTTTTGGTTTTTTTTTATACAAGTATGTATATATTTTCCATCAGTAGAATAAAGCAGAAAAAAGTTACTTACCAGAAGGGATTACTATGAGCTTAGTTCCTTCTGCAAATATCTTGCTCCAGCCTGAGCTATCACAGTGCTCACAGCTTCTACAAAAATCTAAACCTTCTAAAAACATGTCGTGATAAACTGATCTGGGTTCCTTAGAAATCCACTGAATATAAATTGCGTGACATCTGGTAAGTTGTAAGTTTCTTCACAAACTAACTTCATACATTGTTTTCCTTGGAGGCAGTGATAACAGAAAATAGAAGTGGTACAATTGGGGAAGAAGAGAATTGAGCTAACTGGTCCACCAAGTGCTTTTTTTTTTCAAGTAACTGGGAAAAATATTCTAAGAATTGTTTTGTTTTTAATTTCCAGGAGTTCAGTTGTGTTGAAACTGCTCAGTGTTTGCATCAAAGGAATGTGTTTTCTGTTCTCACAAGCACTCATGTTTCTTCTTAGGAAGAGGGGAAATACTTCTGAAAAGAGGAAGCTCTTTGAAAAACGTGACCCAAATTATGTATGTTCATAAAGCTACCATTATTAGTTGCCATTCAAGAACCATAATTGTAGCCATGCTAATGAAAAATGTAATCTGTAATGCCTTATTAGAATAAAGAAGAAGGCTAGATAAAAATTACATCTGTAAAGTATCATAAATTTTAATGATTTGTTAGTGTGTTGATTGATTACAAATATTATTTTAATTGACAATTCCAATTTTCTATTACTCAGAACAGTTGCTTACCCTTTAGACTTTACACAGCATGACATGTTCTCAACTATTAGTCTTTGTTCCAAGACCAAGAGGAGAATTATCAGAATCTTAAGATGTGTCTGTATTTATAGAGACACAAACTAACTTAAAACACGAAAGAGTGAGTAATGAGGGATGGCAAAATTGCTCAGTAGGTAAAAGCACTTACTGCCAAACCCAATAATCTGAGTTTATTTCCGGAACTCACATGATGGAAGGAGAGAACCAACTCTCTTAAGTTGTCTTCCAACCTCTGCATGTATGCCCTGGCATGTGCACATCCATGCATATATGTATACACACATAAAATAAATGTAAAAATTAATATTATAAATTGTTCATTGCATCTGTAAAAAAATAGTGTCACACATACCTTGATCCAACAGCTCTCTAATTGGACTTAAGACCTCTCAACAAGAGGTATACCATGCCTGGTACTGGAGACCTAACTAGCTATTTAGTGGTAGTGAAGTCATGTTATTGGGACTCTACAACTACTGGTTTACTAAAACAGTATAATCACTAACAACAATCTATAAACATTTGTCCTTATACCCACAGGTAAGTGTAGTCTTTACCCCTTGTCAAGGAAACTTCTTTTTACAACAGATGGAGAAAATTACAACCAGTCAAAATACAGAGTTGTGGGACACAATCCCAAAGGATAAACCTCTGACTCAAGGTACATTAGGGAAGAGGGGGCGTAAAGATTGTAGGAGTCAGAGGATCAGTGCATTTGTTGTAAGATTGTGTCTCCTAGTAACATCAGAAGCTCTATTCATAAAGTCTTACCAACATGACTGCCAAATGTGAGCTGGACAAGGATGACACCAATGAACAGACTAAACTGGATGGGGAAAAGCCCACTAAATACTACAGGAAACTGAGTAAAGCTGGGAGTGGGAGAGGTGGTCCTCCACAGGAAGGAGCACATCAATTGATTGTCCAGTGCCAACCAATCAGCTCTGAAAAGATACATACAAGTAACACCATATGGACTTAGCAGGTTATGTTTAGAAATATATATGTATAATGTATGTTTATACAACACATATATGCATGGAATAACAATGAAAAAAGAGGTCGTGAATTTAAAGGAGAGCTGAAAGGAGTATATGAAAGGGTTTGTAGGGAAGAAAGGGAAGTGAAATGTAATGAAATTACAATCTCAAAAGTAAACAAAAAATAAACCAGAAAAATACAAGGACTATATGAAAAAGGCAGTATCAAGTTTTAGTAATTGTCCATTAAAATCTGAATACATAAAGAAACACAATTATAGAGAAAAAACCTACACTTATCAGGAAGCCAGTACCTCCTAAATTCATATTTAAATTGGCTACAATTCCAATCTGAACTACTACAGTACTTTGCTTTGTTTTTTTCTTAAGTGAAGGTGCTATAATTTGGATAAATAAGCATATTATAGATTCTGTGAAGATTCATGAACATTAAAAACCAAAAGAATTCTCAACTAGGACTGGTGGCTGTAATCCTGGCTAATTAGGGGGCTCAGGCTGAAGGATCACAAGTTTAAAGCCAACCTAGGCTACAGTGTGAGTTCAAAGTGACTCTGGGCAATGTAATGAGACTCTACCTCAAAAATAAAAAATTAAGAGAGGGCTATGGATAAGGCTTAGTGGTATAATACTTGCATATGACTCTATGTTCATCACAAGTCCAGTGAAAACTAATTAATTAAAAAAACAGTAAAAAAGACATTTGACTAATGCATAATATAGTATTGACACAAGAATCATGAAATAGTGAAACTGAAAAATTTCATAGAAATGGTCAAACAATATGTGGATGTTCAAAATATAACTATAGTTGAAACTATATTGAAAACTATAAAGTAGTCAAGAAAAAAATTAGAGAAGACAGTTGAAGATGGAAAGACTTTCTATGTTCATGGATAACCAGAATAAATATTGTTTAAATGGCTACATTATTAAAAGTAATATACAGGAGATGGAAAAATGGCTCAATGGATAAAATCAGTGACTTCTCTTTCAGAGGACCTGGGTTAAATTCCCAGAATCCACATGACATGATCATTCACAACTGTGTGTAACTGCATTTCCAGGGGACCCAACATCATCTTCTGCTTTATGGGCACCAGTTATGCTCATGGTACACATACATACATACATTCAGGCAAAACATATGTTCATATAAAATGTAAAATAAATGTTTTTAAAAATGATACATAAATTTAATTAGATGCCCAACAAATTCCAGTGATAGTCTTCATAGAAGTAGAAAGAACAACCCTTAAATTATATGAAAACACAAAAGACTTTGAATGCCAAAGTAAGCCTAAGCAAGAAGATCAAGTGAAAGCATCACGATATTTAATTTCACCAGACTTCAGGCCAATAGGAAAAAACAGCCCGATGTGGTACCAGCACATAGATTAATCATGTGCAGCAATGGAATAGAATAGAGGACCCAGAAATAAACTCATTCAATACAACTGTCATATTCAATTGAAGATGAAGAAACAGTTTCCTTAATAAGTAGTGCTGTGAAAAATGGGTACTCCATGTAGAAGCCTGAAACTAGATCCTTATTTCTCACCCTCTAAAAAAAAAAAAACCTAAAATGGGTTGAAGAAGGCCTTAGTGGAAGGTGCTGAAACTTGAAATCAACAGAAGAAAACAGGGGAAACACTGTTAGAAATAATACCTGATGGTTCACTTTCAGAGTACCTGAGACAGCTGAGGGCCAGCTACAAATGAACACCAAACACTAGACCCCTGTTACCATCTGCTAATGGAGCTATTCCTTTCCTATCAAAGTAGATGTTCAGAGTAGAAAAGTACTGGTGCAAGGTCATGTCTATGATAAGTTTAAAACACTGTAAAATGTAGAGATGAGCCCACACATGGTTTTTTATTGAGAAAACTTAAGATCTAGACAATATATGAGTATATCTTCCTGATTATCAAAAAAGGGGGTAAAGAGTCATGTGTCCAGTTTTTATATATTCTTTTCTGCACTCAATGAGAAGCCTGCCAATCTAGGCTGACACTGAGCTTTGCAGTGTTGTAAATAAAATTGCTTCATTTTCACTTCTCTTGGTCTCCAGTATTCTTATTAAAAATGAGGACCATCAATTCTCACTCTGGACATAGAAATTAATTTTCTCTAGAGGACTCTAAATAGCTCAGGGAACAAAAACAAGTTTTGATTAATGGGACTGGATCAAATTAAAAGGCTTAATTAAAGAAACAACAACCAACAGAGAGAAGAGAGAGCCTACCAAATGGGAAAAAGTCTCTGCCAAATATTAATCTGACAAATGATTAGTATCTAGGATATATAAAGAATTCAAAAAGTTGAATAACAGAAACATACAATGCCCTGTCCAATCAAAATTGATCAATGAAACGCAGACACTTCTTGAATGATGAAGTCTGAATGGCCAATTAGTAGTTAAAATGTGCTCACAATCTTTAGCCACCAGTGAAGTAGGAATGGAAATTGCATCCTCTCATAGTGAGAATGGCTTCCATCAAGAACAGAGTCAACAAATCTAAAAATTATTTCAGAGGCGGTCGTAAGGATAAATTTAAATAAAAATGTTGTTGAGAAAAAGTTTCTGTAAGCTCTTTAAAATTTATGAAGATTGGTGCTTAATGTGAGTGATATTCCATGTGTTTCATCTAAAAATTATTCTAGAATTTAATTTCTAATTACAGTTCTGCTAGTTGTCTGTAGAATAGGAAATTTATGTAATGACTGAGACTTAGAATGGTGGGCATGTGCCATATGAACTCTCACTGCTCAGGGATTCTAGTGGTCTGATGCTCATATTATCCACAACAATTGAATCTAGATTGACTTGAATGTCCACACAAATAACATGCTACTTGATTTCCTTTGTTTTTCTATTGTACAAGGAGACTGCAGCATCCATGTAGACATTTGGTCTTTACCATCTGAATCAGGATTATGTAGTTATCATTGTCATGGCTACCTATTACCAGGCAGTGGAGACATAGAAGCTAGAGTTAGATGGGATTTGCAGTTGTCTCACTGGACCCACAGTTTTGGTCATGACTCTATCCTGAGTGACACCACAGTTTCAGAAGTGTCAGACTTTAGTCTGACTGTGATTGGGTTTCTGACAGGTGAAACCACAGTTCCCAGAGTCTTGTCCCCTTTCAAATCTCACATTATAGGAAAGTTCAGAGGAGTTGGGTCAGGGCTGAAGAGACACCTCAGTGGTTAAGAGTCCTTACTGGTCTTGCAAAGAATCTAAGTTTAGTTTCCAGTACCCAGTCAGGCTGCTTATGACTACCTGTAATTCTAGCTTTATGGGATT